ATCATCCCCATTTCTCATCTGGTATCATTGAGAGAAGGTCCCCCTCCCTCTCTGATACCTACTAAATGGATTTCCTCATCTTTTAAAAGACTCTTTCAACTTTACTCTTAATTTCTTATTCATTACTCTAACACACATACATACAGAATCTAGATGCTTACCTTTTCAAACTCATAACTTGCATATACCATAGACTCATAATTATATACACGATGTAAACACGTATACCTTCAAATACCAATCAACATACATATATAATCTATTAAATAAACAACAAATGACATACCTTAATATTGTATACATATACCTATACATATCTCTACTAGTACAATTATAGTCAGACATAAGCCTACAATAATTATGCATATATATACTTTCACATAACATATATATTATGTATCTTTTATTTGCCATTACTCAAGCCTAAATTACTATATGTATATAAATTATAATTTTATAAACCCTGGAATTCATCTGTCTATATATATGGAATCTTACACATTATACAAACAAACTATATATAACCTCATCTTTACCTACAAATTCACCCACAACATATCTGCATCCATATTATTATACATATACCTTATACAATACAGGGGCCCATACATACTCATACACACACATATATATGAAACTTTGTAAAAACACATTTTAGAACAAAACTTGAAATCATCCATCAAACCTTTAAATTAATTATTTTAAAATCAATAAATAATTTTTTGAAAGTATGAAATCTCGGTACAAAGCTAATTCAATTCTTATCTCAATTCATGCTTAAAGCACCCAATATGATAGCCAAATTTTCATAAAATCGTCCCTAAATTTCTCTAATTTTTGGGCTTTAAATCTTAAAAATTAGGTGAGTCACGGGTGCTCACTTATAGGTATGGGTTTGCACACTTACTGTAATTTCCATTTTTCTCCCTTGTTTGAGCACTATTTTGGGTAACTCTTTCGCCTAAATTCTTTATAAAGGAAAGCTCTTTATGTAGGAAAAACCTTCACTAAAAACCATTAAGAAATTAGGTCGATTCACCTCAAAATCCATGAACTTATTGCTAGATGCATTCTCTTGTGACCTGTGAAAATAAGTCACGAGTTTTGGTACTTTTCTCCCTTGTTAGAGCACCATTTTGAGTGATTTTTTCTCCTCAAATCTTCTCCATTATTTCCTCGAGATTTTCTATCTTTTCTCATTAATTTTTGTGTCATATATGATGTAGAACTCGAGATCAATAGTGAAATCTAAAATTCTGCATATACATCAGTAATCAAAAACTCAAAACCCTAAGTAAAGCCTTCATACTTGACCTGCACTCAACAGGAAAGTAAAAACTAAGATAATAAGGATAAATGAATTAATTATAATACCACAAGGAAAATCTTTATAAGTTAAAATTAATTTAAGAAAAAAATTGATAAAAACGTCACAAGTTACCTTAATAAGTAAACACTAATTCCCCACTCAATAAGAAGGTTGAAGAAAACCTCACTAATTGAAACTAAAATTTTGTAATTTTATTATTCTCAAACTTTAATTAATACAACTGTGAATTGATGACTTATTTATAGTGTAAGTTATGTGAATAATAAGGAAAATAGTCTCTTAAATTAATTGCAATATTACATAAGAAAATAAATGTAGTATAGAATAGAAAACTTACAAAAATTAAAAGGATTGCTTTCTAAAATATGATTGATATGATCTCCCTATGAGAAAATCTTTTTAAATGGAGAATATCTTAATTAATTGTGAAGATATCTTCCTTTAAAGGTCGGAGATCTAGTTTGCTCTTTTCTTCAAAATTGATTGATTTATGAAGATCTCTTAATTTAATAAAGATCTCTTAATTTAATGAAGATCTTTGAATTCCTTAGGAAAGTAAATCCATCCATGATCTTGTGATAAATGTTTAAAATCCTCCCATGATCTCTCTTGATTTTTTTCATATGTGAATATACCCTTTTAAAAAGATATGATCTTGGTTTAAAAACTTGGAAAGACATGATTTTGATTCTCCCTTGATGAATTTTCAAAAAAAAATTATCTTGGTTTTCTTTTTGCATTTTTGATAAAGATATGGAGGGGAAAAAAATTTCCTTCTTGAGAGAAAAATATCCCTTAAGTGGGAAAAAGTCTCTCATGAGTGGGGAAAGATTTCTCATGGGCTTTTAACTTCGTTAAGGGTCGTTTCCTTTCTTGACTTGGTTGGTTACTTAAATAGTTCAAGTGATTCGTGCTCACATCAATATAGCTTGAGTTATCTCTATTTTTCTCTCAAAGGGTTACTGGACATGTTCTTTCACGACCACCATTCCCTTCCTTCTCTATTTTCTCTCTTTCCCTCGCGGCAGCCTACTCCTTCCTCTTTCTTGTGACCACCACTCTCTTCTCTCTCTCTTTCTTGGTTGTCTCTCTTACAGCTAGGGTTCCCTCCTCTTCTCAAAGAGCTGAGAGGAGGAAGCTTTTATATAGACTTTTAAGAGTCATTGGATCTTAAGGGCAAATTTGGGTTGTTTATCCTACCCATTCATATGGGTTGTCCATTTTTGCTTCTTCATTTGAGTCGTTCATTCCCAAATACTTTTAGAATTTAAGTTTCGTCCCACTTTTGAATATTTTATTCAATTTAGTTTTTTTTTCAAATTTAATTTATGTTTTGGATTCCTTTTTACATTTTTACATTTTAAGGTTCTTAATTAATTTTTTAAAGAAACCAAACGCAAACATTAAATCCCTAAAGCATGAATTCACTTCAAATTTAATTTACGCAAACCGAAGTGTTACAAAATGAGTTGTTTTAAAATAAAAATTTAGAAATTAAAAATTTCATCAACTTCTTAGAATTAGTTATATTAATATAAACATCAAGTAATAAAGTGATTAATTATTATTTAAATAACAAAAACAAAAAAATTCAACCATAAAAAAAAATTTAATCATTGAAAATTTCTCCTTGGATATAGAAATTATCTCTTAGAGAAATTTTCTCACAAATCATTTTTCCACATGAATTATTTTTCTTTGAGTAGAGAAATTCCCAAAAAGAGATTTTCTCTATTGAGAGAAATTCTCATGGAGAGAAGTTCTCTCATAAATCATTTCCATTCCCCTTGAACTATTTTTCCTTGGATATAAAATTCTCTCCAACCAACTAATTTTCTATGAAAGAAATTCTTACAAAAAATTTTCCTCATCATAAATCATTTTTCTTGATAAAGAAATTCTGGAAAGAAAAAATTATTTTCAATAGATAAATTCCCTAAGAGATAAATTCTCGTAGATAGAGAATCTCTTGTAGAGAAATTGCCTCAAAGAGAAATTCTCTCAAAGACAAAATTCTCTCACAAATCATTTCTCCCCAAATCAATTCTCAAAGAAAATCACCACTTTCTGTTTTTCATTTCTAAATACACAAAAAAAAAATATCCAATTTTTCTCAAATTACTATATTATGTTTTTTATTTTTTATTATAAAAAATTATCCATTTTTTCTCAAATTAATATTTTATACTTGTCGTTTCCAACAAAAAAAAATTCTTTATTCACCAAAAATTTATCCATTTTTTCTCAAATTATTTTTTTTGTCTTTTCAAGCAAACAAAAATTATATTTCTTCACTAAAAGATTATCCATTTTTTCTCAAATTAATATTATATTTTTCATTTCAAACGAAAGAAATTTCTTGTTATTCAACAAAATTTTTTTGGTTTTTCCTCAAATTAAGATTTTTGTTTTTAGTTTTTTGTTTCAAAGAAAAAAATAATTTATATTTATTCCTCCAAAAATTATCCACTTTTCTTGTATTAATTATTCTGCATCCATGACAATGAAAAAAAAGACATAAATAATGATAGGCTAATTAGAAAGAAAACATATCTTACTTGTATCAAGGAAATAAAGCAATATTCATTCTAGAAAATTATAGAGGAAGAAGACAAATTAAATGCAAAAACAACACAAATTAAATGAAAGCATAAGAAAAATAAAACAGGATGTATCTGCTTAGGAAACAATTGACTTTCATTTACAGATTAAAAAATTGGCAACTGTTTCGTATTTCTTTCTCTTTCCAAATGGTTTTGGGTTGGATAACTACTTTACTAAGTAGAGTTCTCTTGAAGAGGTTACATAGAGGTAAGTGTTAGCCTGAATGCAACAACGTGGGGGGAAGAAGCAGCTTAACAAAGAATAAAGTCTCATATTTTCTTGTATAATTGACAATAATGGACAAAAAACGGAGAGGACAAAACAAAAGTTCAAAAGGCAATGGGGCTAAGTGCCGGGATGGGGAATGGAAGCACCACAACGATGACAAAAGTCGCACATTTTCGTGCTAGATTAACCAAAAAAGACCAAAAGCTTATAGGAGAGAAGGGAGAAGCAAAAATTTGCGACCATGTGGCGTGGTGAGCTCATTAAAAAAGGTTGACGACATACAAGTAAGTGAAAGAAGGTAGTTTGAAGATGAGAGAAGGCAGCTCGAACAAAGAAAGAAGTCTAGTGAGAGGAAGTGAAGGGAGATGAGGATTTTAAGACTTATATTGACCTTTTTTTTTATTTTTTTATTATATAAATCAGTTTTAACACATTATATGATATCAATAATATTAATTTTTTGTATTATATCAAATGTCACATGATATCTAAAGTAAAACTCATTTGCATAATAACAAATAAGAAAATTATATATATTATCATATTTACATAAGA